TGCAAAATCCTCATTTTTCCAGAGAAGAAAGCCAATGGATAACATCTAGGATTAAAAATTCTATTCTGTTTAGAAACAAAGTATAAATTTAGTATTTTGAAATGTGAAGAGAGTTCTGGAAATGAATAGCAGTGATAGGTTTCAGCATTGTGAATGTATTTCATTGCACTGAGTTGTACATGTTAAAAATGGTTAAAATAATAAATTTTATGTTATGTATATTTTATCACAATGAGAAAAAAGAAAGAAAAGAAATGAAAGTGCTCAAAGGATCAAAGTCCCTGAAATTAAAACTTTCACGGTAAATATAGAAAAATCAGTTTCATAACTCAAAAAAAAAAAAAAAAGAAATATGAAGAGAAACGCGAAAGTGTTAAAAATATTGATAGTGGATGTCACCTGGGAGCAGGACTCAGCCACGAGGCGTGGGACTGCTTTTGTTTCAATCCTAAGACTTCGTGTGCTATTTGGCTTGTGCAAAATTACAAACATGGATTATTCTGACTGAAAAATGAGACAAATTTAATAGAACAGAGCTGTCATGTGTGAGCCCCATAGACACATCTGTACTGTTACCTTTTCTCCCTGACACATTTTAAGGCAACACCTAATTCCTCAATTTTGAATATTAGTGAGATTTTTGCACTTTATATGGGGAGAAGAAAACCAACCGTGGAAAAAGATCTCATGAACAGGCTGAGATGTGCTTTATTTTGTAATACCAACTCCTAAGTTTATATAATCACAAGTAACAGATAGTTCCAAATAAATTGCCCCCTCTTTCTAATGTAATATTTTGTGCAGGTAAAAACACCATTAAGGGCAGCACTAGAGGAAAACTAAAAGTCCTCACGTTAGCTGAGAAGGCACACACAGACGGAGAGCACAGTCCATTCCCCTTTGACTTAGTGGGAAGGCAATTCAACACGTTGGAGAGAATGAGAAAAGAAGGAGAAAGTGGGATAGTTTAAGGTGAGCTAGTTTATTACCGAGTTAGAGACTGTTCAATGTCTTCTGGAACTGCCAACATGTCACAAAGCACCACCTCCCACCTCAAAGTTTAAGACCAAAAGAAATACACCCTATTTCTTCACCCACTTAAAAAATCTTTAAAAAATCATTTCCACTTGCACTGAATCAGAAAGACAAGTATTTGAGAGAAGACAAGGACTTTCTGAGTCATCACTTCCTACTAGATTGTCTTGCGAAGAAAACTGATTTGCAAGAAATTTCCTTTTTCTCTCATAGCCTCCTACTTGATAGGTAGAGAATTGCTAAGCAATCAGATCCACTTGTTTGTTTTTCAGGATTTGAAAAACAAATTAAATAGAATTCTTCTACATATTGATGCCAACTTTTCTTTCTTTGAGGAGGCCACAAATTTTTGCCTAAACTTGAGGACCTCTTGGAGTTGATGCAATGCAAGTGGCCATAACCAAACAGACTTCCTTGAAATTTCTTTCTAAGAGGAGTTAATACATTTTTAACTTGAGTATGCTTTCTTGGGGTAGATAATTAGTATCTATAAGTGCTTATCTTAAATCTTCCTTAAAATCATTTGGCATTATTAAGTGGGATCCAGGGACAGTGTTCTCTTCCTACTTAAAATGCAAAAACATGAAAATGAACTCTAATTTATGGAAATAGAGAAAGTGTGCATTTAGGTATCTAGATTGTTCAGTTCAGTTGAGACCAAGGCTGAAATTCTGATATTTTACATTAGTCCTATTAGCTCTGCTCAGAGAAAAACTATTTTAGAGTTCTTGTGTTGCTTCTATATGTGCAGACCCAAATCTCAGTGATGCCGACATAAAGAAACTCACAAGACGATGGCAATTTAAAAATTTACAATGAAATGTCTCACTGCCAAGGGACCAGACACATGCGTCCTCAGGCCTGCACCTCCTCTCCTGTGGGCAAGTCAACAGGAAGCCAGCTTTTGTTCAGAGATTTGCTCTCCTTGAGCAGCAAGTCAGAGCAAAGGGAGTAAGTAAAGTTCAAATGTTTAGTGAAGTTCAGGCTCTGAGAGGCTGGTACAAGTGTCACTGTGACAGGAATATAGCCATCTCTGGTAATGAATAATTCAAATCTTGAGCCAAGGAGTCCTTTTTCCAGGGAGCAGATATGTGGGCTTTCCCTGCATTTGCTTGACTCTCCTTTGTTTTTGTTCCATTGATGACCAAAGCTTCTTATCGCAGACACAATTCTTTTCAGTTATATTAACTCTATCCATACAGTTATATTCTACTCACTGCCTTTTTAAAAGATGTTAGAAACCCTAAATTCACCCCTCTGAGCAAGGTAAAACTTTTCTCTTACATGTTCTTCCAAACGTAATCTTCAATGTTATTTTTCCTGTTAGAATTACTAATATCAGCACAGGATGTACTTGGTCTGCTCAAATAACAAGATTAACAGGTATAAGAAGAAAAAAGAATAGAGAGACTCTAGAAAGAGATCTAAGTATACATGTAAAAGAATCATCATTTAGGGGCCGGCCCCGTGGCTGAGTGTTTAAGTTCGTGTGCTCTGCTTCGGTGGCCCAGGGTTTTGCCAGTTCGGATCCTGGGCACAGATACGGCACTGCTCATCAGGCCATGCTGAGGTGGTGTCCCACATGCCACAACTAGAAGGACCCACAACTAAAATATACAACTATTTACTGGAGGAATTTGGGGAGCAAAAGCAGGAAAAAAAAAAGAAGATTGGCAACATTTGTTAGCTCAGGTGCCAATCTTTAAAAAAAAAAAAGAATCATTTAATAAAATGCAACTGGTTAACCTTTTGGGGAAATATTTAACTTAGAGTAAAGGGTCAAATTGTTTCAAAACCAAAATGAAACCAAAAACCTACCTGGAAGAAAGATATATGGACTTAAGTTTGGACTGGAAAGCCTTTCCAAGCAAGATAGCAATGGCTGGAACTATGAAGAAAATATTTGATCAATTTGGCTGCAATTACATGGACATTAAAACCTTCCTGTCAAAAACATGACAAACATAGTTGATAACATGCTCTGAGTCCTTTTTATGTCCACAAACCTTTTTGAAGGAAGTAGACATAGATTTTTTATTTCAGTGTTCACTCACTCTCTACTCTAGGTTGTACTAATGAGAGAGGATGCACAAAAGAAACGATGGGAAGAAAAGTGCTGATCTATTTTATATTGGCCAGTGCTTAATATTACCCCTCCCCCTAACCTCCTCTCATAAACACTGGCACGTGGCATCAGACTGAGAGCATAGCTTAGGCCAGGAGTCTCAGGTAAGACTTATTTCCCAATCCCTAACCTTTGAACCTGACCCAACTTACCCATCGAACCATAAGAACCTGGAGCCAAGAGAGAATTATATTTTCAACTCAGTCAGTCACAATCAGAACAAAGAGATCTGAGAGTATGACTGGTTCAAAGAGAGTTAGATAGATGGTCAGGCCCAGACCAAAGTACTGGATGCCAGACAAGTGTGAGACAAGGCAGGAGGCCACGATACACTCAAATCTGACTTTTAATTTAAAGAACCTAACTATTAGTGGAAAAAGCCCATTAACCAATTAGATTAGCCACTCTTCCTTCTGGAAGAGGGTGGAGAATGGGACGTGGAAAGGTCAGATGTAACTCCTCCAACATTCCCTAAATGAGGGAGCTGGGGTATGTTCAGTCTTTCTTATGGGCAGAAGCAGAAACGTGAGGAGAAGGGCAGAAGGGTCCCATTCAGCAGTGATGCATCCTTAAATTTATCCACATCCTTTGACTGAGAGGTATATATCTTAAAGGAATAATGAAAGGATTCAAAAAGATTTCTCTCAAGGATACTTGTTGAAGAGACAGTTTATAACAATTAAAAGAGTGTAAAGTAACCAATTCCAACAATAGAAAAAAAAGGCCTTTACTAAGAGAGTATATTACATTAATACAATAGAAAGCTGTATGGCCACTAAAATGAGATTCACAGTAAATTAGGTGAAAATAAATTATAAAATATTATATACAATATAATCTTATTTTTATATTTGAGAAATGCACATCTATAAAAATGGAATGTTTTAAAAATAACTGTTCACAGTGATTATCCCTAAGTGGTAGTACTATGTATGATTTTAATTTTTCATTTGCTAAAATTGGAATTATCTAGTCTTCCCAAAACAAACATATAGGACTCACATCATTTAAGAAAAAAATTAGTGAAAGAAGAACAGTTGATTGGGTCAATTACGATGAGAGGGACAGCTGCGTGAGGAATTGGGGAACAATTCATTTATGCAGGAACCGCTTCCCAACAACTCAATAATTGACTCAAAAAACTTATTTCGTGCCTCCTATTAGGAATTGTTATTGGCCTCTCTTAAACAGTTTTCTTCTAAAATAAATGTCATCTGGTTTGACTTTTTCCTTTTTGACCCTACATGATTCACTGTCATTGTTAGGTGAACTAATTTTGGAGATCTGCAGATTCATTCATCTACGCATCCAGTCACACACATTTCCAAGTGGAATGAGTGCATGATTTACTAGTGCCCTGAAGATGCAAAGAAGAAAAAGATTTCTCCTGAGAGAAGCTTGCTGCAAACTTGATGCCTGTTTTGGGAAACAAATCATACCTGCTTGAAATTACTTGATTACACTCACAAGATAATATGATAATGTGGCACGATGCATAGATTTTCACCAAGGATTATGGAGAGTGGGACAGATCTGCATGCCCTAGGGTGCTGTGGGAAAAGATTTTTGGAGGAGGCGTGGCTTACCCTGAGCCTTACAGAGTATATGGGATTTGGATTTGCAGAAAGGAAGGATTTAATTATTCCAGGATGGCCCAACTGATGAGGTTAGGGGAGGGGGAAATTTTAGGGAAATAGAGAGATGAGGTTGGAAAAGTAAAGTGGGCCCATTTAATGGAACGTTTCAGAATCCAGACTGAGGAATTTTTATTTGCTTTGAAAAATTAAGAAAATTTTTTGAACACGTCTCAGTAATTCATATCTCTATAATTCTTCCACAGGTTTTCAATGGATCCCATTGCTAGGTGCTCTAAGAGGGCTCAAGGCTGCTCCTTTTCCATTTTACCACTTTCAGGCAGTATCACTCCCAACCAAGAAGATCCTTTCCAGCACCACTGTGCAAATGGAACTCTAAACACCTCTCTCCAGCCACATAGAAACATCCTGTAAACTCTAAGACAGCATGGTTAGGCTCAAAGCTGTTCTGTTGGACTATTGTGCTAAATAAGACTGGTAGGTTTATGTGATGGGGAAGGGATTTAAGGTCTGAGTCAGTATGTGTGTGTGTTGTGGGGTGATTGTCTTTTTGACTGTCCTTTTCTCTAGGAATTTTCTTCTCGTGGATTTGCCAACACAAACAACCCTAAGTACTCTTGGGCTGGGTAGCCAGGCTAACTCTCCACTATCTAAGGATTAAGGAAATGTTCTATTGTTTGTTTTTCCTCACTGACTTTTTTAACTGTCTTGACCTTGGTGCTGAGCATTGAGATTCAGGGAGTGGGCTTACAGTGGCAAAGGCAAGAGGGACCATAATGCCATCATCCAGAACAGCTTGTGAAGGTTCCATTCTGAGGCTTGGAGGTGCCAAAACTCAAGCTAGTGGTAGCTGCTAATATGAGTTCCTGTCTGCCTTCTTTTGTACATGGCTCTTTCTCAGAAACCTCTCTGGATGCGATAACACTGGCAGCCAGGATTTGTGCTCTGAGTCCAGGGTCTAAGATGACCCCTTAATGTAAAATGTGAGTGTCATGGTCTTTCAGAGGTTGTATAATCAAATGGGTGCAGAGACCAGGGAGTTACACAGATGTAAAAACCAAGCAGGTGTGGTAGGGCCTGTGACTACAGAGTGCCCATCCTATTGACGTAAGAAACACTAGTCTAAGCTGAGAATTTTATGGAACCATAAAGTGACCTCAAAAAAGTCACCAGAATCTCTCAGAAGTGTCTGGAACATCAAGGATACAAAAGAATTTAAACTACTCTCAAAGACTACCAGAAAAGCCAGGGGTCATGCACTCTTGATAATTTTTCCCCAGAATATAACAGCCTCCAGAATTCCCTGGCAGATTTTTCAGAATCAGTCTCTCTGGGGACCTTGGCTTCTTTTTTCAACACCAATCATCATTTTGGTTTGATTAATCTTCCTGTATGTGGCCGCTAGGACATAAAGCGAGATCATCCAGGGCAACAAGTTTGTTCTTAAGTTATTTGGGAAAACAGATGTACAGGAAAGATTAAATTATTAGTCCTTTGGGAAATATGATGGTGGGGAGAAAAATTAAAAAAAATAGTTTTGTCCTTGTTCTAACAGAGAACAATCTGTACAGCACTTAATGTCAAAAGATTGTAAAAACTATTCCGGGATGAGCCTGGAATGAGAGATGTGTGCACTGAACTGGGTGCTTGCCTTCTTTCACTCTCTGTAAGAGTGAGGAACATTGAGACAGTCACAGGGCAGAGAAAGAGTCCTGAGAGATGAAAATGATGGGGGCAAAGTGGCAACAGCAAAAAATCCTGAGGTCAAGGCAAAGGTAGTGGATTGTCCTTCTCCACCCACCTGCTTTTGTAAACTTCTACTCATCCTGTAAATTTTGGTATTACCTCCTTTGAGAGACATGCTTTGACCTCCACCAGGCTCCTTTCAAGACTCTTGAGTTCCTATAACACTCCCAAGAATATATCTAATAGGCGACTTCCATTTGGTACTCTATTGAGTTAGAGACAGACAGAAGTGTGACTCTGCCTCCTTTTGCAGAGGTCTGGGCAATTTAGAGGTGTGGACAATTTAGCTCTGAAAGGTGGAAAACTCAGAGTTGTGATATCCAAAGTTCTGCAGTGTATATATATATATTATAGAGACAAACGGGAAATGCTGTTGTGGTTTTGTATTTGCAAAGTATGTCCAATGTTGTGTTACCTATAAGATGATAAATTTGCTATGGGAATTTGCTGGCCATGCAACAAATTCTATTAACCATCTTAACATGATTTTCATAAACTTCAGTTACTTCTAGAATCAAAGAATATTCCACTGCCCCAATATATGGTTAAGAACCTTAGGTTCATCCTTGTCAACAAATGGCATAGTCATCAATTCATATCCTTGCTTTATCAATGCAATAATTGATTTACTGAAAAATCATATGATATTTCTATAAGGAGTTTAATTCTTAGAGATTTATTCTTCAAGTTGTCTTTTTGTGGTTCTACTGAAATTTACTCTGTTGCATTTTCTTTTCTCTAGCTGCTAATGGCCACCCACAAACATGGCGACCATATATATATTAGGACTAGTGCAGTGCTAAAGACATTAACACAGATTTCCTCAATTACATCTGAGCAGTCAAACATATGGGGTGTTCCTCTCACAGAGTCACACTATTCACTGAAGAAAGCTGTAAGCCCTTGGGAATATCAAAGCATCCTGGATTGAAGAAATATCCAGGAATTGGGCAGGTAAGTCAAATCTTTCCTTTTTAGACAGAGACTCTGAAATGCAACACCAGTGCTAAAAACCATAAATCTTTGTTTTTTCCTGGATCAGCACCCAGAACTTCCTATAGAAAGGGGAAGTAGAGTGCTTTGAACTTTGTCCTAGAAAAAAAAGAAGTGAGCCTTTTTTTTGGATGATATCCATCAAGCTAATGGCTGTGGCTTCCAGGGAGATCTCAGAGGCAACATGCATTGTCACTGATATACTTGCTATCTCCAGAGTCCCCATGGAAAGGGTATTCATTTTGTAGCTAATGTAAATTACAGTGCCTGTCTTTGTATTTCAGTGATTTGAAGTGACATTCTATTAAAGGTGTTCCTGACGCAAACAGGATTAGGTGGTAACGGGAGAATTAAACAAGAACTATGCTTGGCTGGTAACCTTGAGCCTAATAGTCTTCAAGAATAACAACAGTCTTTCTTTCTCTCCATTTTTTATACTGTGATATTGTCTTACAAGTAGCAACTTCAAGAATTGAAAAATTATAGAGTGGGACCTCTGTTTTCTACCACATTTGTTTACTAACATCTGCTCAGGGACTTTATCAATGATGAAGATTTGATAGTAGGTCAAATTAATTTAAGTTCCATGTTAATTATGACCTTGAAACTTTGCTAATAAAAAAAGTGATGATCAAATTGCCCTGCCTTTGTAGCTGAATGATGAGAGCGTGAAATCATTCACTGGCAAGGGCAGAGATGTAAACCACAAGAAAGAATAACCATGACCTAGCCCAAAGTATTAAAGCCCTGGCTGTGCCTGACACCTGGAGTTGTGATGCAGTGCAACCTAGACATATTTGATTCTTGACAGTCTGAGAAGGAGAAAAACTAAAATGAGTAACCAAGTTCATACATCAAATCAATAATTAATATAAATAATGTAATTACATTCAGTAGCAGTAATAGGATAAACATTGCAGTTTTTGTTACAGTGAGGTAGGTGAAATCTAGAAGATAGAACAGCTTGAAAATGAGTTGGGAGAGAGGATAAGAATTTGGAAATATTGCAGTATTCACTGTAGTAGGTGACAATTAACCAATATAACTGGTGTAAATACTATGTGTTGAAATTGAAATGGGGGTGAGAGAGGGCAGTGGTCAAATTGGCTTAAAGGGAGCATTCCCCAGGCAACCAGCTGCTAAGCCAAAAAACACAGCAAATAGACAATTTGTTTTGGCAGTTTGCTGGTGAAATTTGATGGGTATTAAAGGCTAGAACTCTAATTCTGCTTGAGACTACGAGGTATTAAAGTAAAGAGAATTTTTTCAAGCAAATTCTGGGTATATATAGTACTGTACTTGTTTTAAACTGAGGCTATCCTTGGTTTTGCCGATTATAACTCCTAAGTAATCATCTTACTAGAACCACAAAGTGTTCACGGAATAGGTGAGAAAGAAAGTTATTTAGTACCTGTCACGTACCAAGAACTGTTCTCAGCTTTTAATTGAACTCACAACAATCCTAGTAGTCAGATAATATTGTTATTTCCTTTCAGAGACAAGAAAATGGGCTCACAGTGGTTAAGTAACTTGCCCAGGATCAGATGACTGACCATATCTGGTTCCACGTCTCTCTGGGTGGTGCCCATTCAGTAATGGCTGTGGTCTCCTGGAACAGCTCAGAGGCAAAAACTCTCTGACGTCAACTTTAGGAATTTTATATTCTTGTTGTTCAAAGTGTGATTCATGGACCAGCAGCCTCACGTCTCCTGGGAGGTGAGTCATAATCTGCATTTTAACAAGGTCCTGGGATGCACATTAGAGTATGAATGCAAGTTTTATAAGATACAGCACTGCCTGACACTTTGACTTAAAAGAAAGAAAAAAGGATTCTTAGAAAAGCATTCTTAAATCCTTTTGATTCATGGAACACTCTAAGAAATTAACTATGAACACCATGGACCTCTCCTGAAAAACAATATATTCATACTGACGTCCACACTTACATTCACTTCCTGAGTGTTAGACATCCCCTGAAACCCACACATGGTTGACCTAGTTAACTGCAGACTCCAAGTTAAAAATGCCTGTGAGAGTTGGTTAAGGTAACAGAGAAATCAAAACGGTATACAGTTTGAAAAGTGAAAAATCACGGCAAAAGAAAAAAGTCTACTCTTTCAATTAGCAGCACATAATTATATAGGTTGAGCCTTTACCTCTTTCCCAGAAATTGGCAGAACATTTTCTTTAACCCACTTATATGGGCAAAATAGATTTTCCTAGTAATTTTGTCTCCATTTATCTCCTCTCCTTATTAATTTCTTCCCAATTGACTTTACCAATAATTATTTGGAGTTTCACTCCCAGTGCCAAGATCTTCCATAATGATAAGCATGTTTCTATAAGATCATGTACACATACCTCATTCTTAGGGACTTACGGATATAATTTCAGCTATGTTTTCAAAAACTTTATTTCAATAATTTTATAACTAGTCACTTATAAAGCTGGATGTCCTAGCTTTTGTCTTATTAACTGTAAATGTGCAGCAAAAAGAAAATAATTTTTGATTTTGAACAAACTATCCCAGTTCTCAAACCTTTTTCACCATTTGGTAAATATTTCTAAAACCATGAAGTCATTGAGTGTTGACTGCCTCCTTTGCCCTTTTCTCCCTTTCCTTAGGCTTTAGAGAAAGGGCTATTTTTATCCTGAAGAGATCTACTTCTCTCCTAACCACATAACTCTCAAGTCAACGGGATCCAGTTTTGGACAAGTCGTGATATCGAAATAGATGATCATCCGTCCTCTCTTCTTTGATAAAGTTTTGGTCTTGCCAAGGTCGTTACTAGCGCCTTGGTGTAGTTTTACTGGGACTTTACTAGTGTCTTTCTTTGTCCATTCAAAAAAAATCTTGTTCGTTTTGAATTTTCCTAACGTTTCCTCTCTCTTCCTCACTATCAGTGTCTCTAGAAGGGGAGTCACTGTCAATATAATTTTGTGTTGGCATGGGTTCCCCATGTAAATTTCTTTGCAAAATTCAGAATAATTATGAACCAGTTTCTAGTTTCACAAAAATACTATAAATAATTCTAAGTTCCTCTAAGTTTATGGGGGAACTGTTTACCTGATCTAAATCTACACAACAGTTTAGACTTTGGTCCTTTAGTAACGAACTCATACAATAATTTTATGTAAATAATTGACTAGTAATAAGTAAATTTTAATAAAGCTGAAACATCTGAAAATGATAGATTTAGACAACTACTAAATCATACCATCAATGAAACATTTATTTTCTTCATTTTTTTCTTTACTTTTAAATCAAACAATTAACAACTTAAAAAGAGTAAATTTCAAAGTTAAAGATACTAATAAAATTCGGTAAACTATTTCATAAATGAACTAAAGTCTGAATTTGCTAAACTATTACACTTCATAGTTTGTTCTCTTTTTCATTTTTAGATGTTAAACACAAATCAAAATTGAGGTAAGTAAGATTCAGTTTCTTAATCTTTGCAATCACTGTGTAATCATTGCCTATTTTAATCTGTTTAAGAAATATGCAGGTCCAGAGTGGTGAGAATACCAACTGTGCCTGAAATCTGTGTGAACAAGGGTGAACTTTTTTCAGAAGTGACCGTCAACTGAATTCACCGGAGTTGGTGGCCAACCACGTAACAGAAGTCTCCAAATTCACTTCCATGTAAAATACAATGTTTATTAAAGGACAAGTGACAAATATTTGCTAAGTTGCAGCTTAGATGTATATTATTCAAAACAACTGTAACCTGAGCAATTATTTGAAACATAGACTGCCAAAAAAATTGTTTTCAGGAAAGAGTGTTTTACCTCTGGCATTGTTTAGAATCGCTGGCACTTAGTGATCATAAAGGCAGACAGACTTTCAGTTAGTTTTATTACTGTTTTTCAATTCCCTACAGACAATGGACCCCCTTGAAGCTTACACGGGGGGCTTCCCCAGCTGGCCCTCAGTATACCACTGTTTGCAAATATTCATTCCTTTGAGCACATTTTATGTCCACTGTTAGAAATAAAATAAAGATGATTGAGGAATGAAATGAATCCTTAGGGACAAGCCGGCTCTGCTGAGAAACAGTGTGACCTCGTGGGAAACCAAGTTCCTTCAAACAGGGGAAGTCTGAAGCCACCAAGAGAAATGACCTCACCATGGTGACAAAGGGTTATACCTCATCTTACATTTTCTGGCTCAGAGTTCAGAAGACCTCTCTGTGAAAGGGAAGAGCTCCTCTGCTTTGCAAATCTACTCTCTCTTACCAAAGGAAAAATCCTTTCTACAATTGCTGTATCACCCATCAAAAAGCCATTCAACCGAAAAGCAGGGAATAGCATCATTGTGGCCATTTGGATGAAGTCTGGCTGCCTGTTAACTTCTGTTTCCAGAGAGTAGCTTTGCTGATCTCCACACTCTTAACCTGTGAAGCACAAAATCAAGGCCAAATGGCCAGTAAAGACAATAACCATTTGAAAGAGTGCTGCCTTATTTCTGCAATTTTGACTTGAATGCCTCTTCTAGAGAAAGCGTAGTATTTTTCCTTTGATGTTGCAGTGTGGATAACGGGTCTGTGGTTTTCACTCTTTAATAAACTCTGGGACACCAAGAGCTTACATTATATTGAAAAGAGCGGATTTCTTTTCATCTGAGATGCTTAAAGCAATGTTATTAATAATACTGTGTATAACAGCTGCCTTTATTTATTCATAAATACAGCACAAACATCTTACTTGTCAAAAGGAGAGGATTTTCTTTTACTATAAAAAGATAATTAATTCAGGCTGGATAAACTTGATGGTGCATTTGCCATCTGGGCAAAGCTAACAAAACACCAGAATAGAATTGTGTGAAGAAAAAGTAATCAAAATATGGAATAAAAATACATGCTTAAACTCTGTTTTGATTTCTTTAACAACAAATAATTTTCCACCACAAGTATTATACTCAGGCTTATATGAAAGGAAAAATAAAAGGCAATAGGGCATAGAAAAATACACAACTGAAGGTAAACAAAAATTTCAGGTGATTTCTTTCCTTTTTGTTTTTTACACATCAGTAACATGAGGAAAATCTTTCATGAGCTCTGCATCTCTTCCCGTCTATACCCATGAGGAAATGAACCTCTTACCAGATAAAATAATATAGATAAAAGTGCTTGTAAACTTTAAAGAACCATAAAAGTGTAAGAGAATTACTATTATTTCCATCAGCCTAGTGTGTCTGTAGAGAGTGGAACTCATAGATACACTGGAGGTTTTGATTTATTACATCAACTCGGGAAACTGAACTTGGTTGATGATTGTGATCTTTAAAATCCTTGAAAAGATGATATTTGTCACGTGGAACCATCACTGCACTGACATTCTAGTCTCACCTTTGGCTCTTCACTGTCACTTATTCAGAACTGTTGCTTCCTCCTTATCCTCTCCTTAAACACACCAGCTTTTGTCTCTTCTAAGCCACCATACAACCTAATCCCATGAATGCCCGATTTTACATGGTGCAATTGTGCTTTCAAAGCTTTCTCTCTCCCCACCCAGTCCCACCTACCTTGCTTCTTTCCATTTCTCCTGTTTTAACTGTGCCCTGTCACTAGTCAGCAGAGCACTGTCATTCTATCTTGGCGACTTTCTCTACCTCATTTTTCTTGATAAGAATGACCAGCTGCCCTTATATCAAATAGTTCTCATTAAAGAGTGATTTAGAAAGTCCTTCTTTCAAGAAGACTTCCCTATGTTAGCATTTTGACCACAGATCAATTCTGACTGTTCTCAGAACCCAATGCTAGACTTACATGTTGATGCTCATGACCTTGGCCTCTTAAGTTGGATGTACTGCAAATAGGTTTGTTGCTTTAGACAGTGAATGAATAATGACTTGCTGAAGTTCATTAAGTATTGCAAGGAATTCATTAAATAACTGCGATAATGAGGTGTGTGTAAGATGATGTTATTAGAAATAATTTTATTACCCTGGGATTTAGTGGTAAGGCAATTTTTGACTTCAAATCTTGTCTGGACAGTAGAAACAATGCCTCCTGTATTTTTTGTACAAGCCAGAATGAGTCTCTTTCTTTTGGAGGCTAACGCAAAATCCTTACCAGAGCCGATAAGACCAGGTGATACTTAACAGTTCCTTTCAGTGCTTTCTCTGACCCTAGCCTCTCTGGCCTGCCGTCCACTCTTTGAACATGCTATAATCCTTCCCGACTGAAGATTTTGGCAGGCTGTTTCTCCACCTGATTCTTCTTACTCCCCCCCACCCCACCTGCCCAGAGAATTCTTAATTATAATTCATAGCTGAGCTCAGATATCACTGCCTCAGAGAAGCTATCTCTGACATCTTGAACGAATCTGCTCCTCTCTGTATATGCTCTCCTGGGGCCCTTCATAGAAGGGATAATAATTGAATAAGCATTCCAGTGATTAATTTGATAATATGACCTTTCTGCTAGAATAGAAACTTTACGAGGGTTGAGACTGTGGCTGTCTTATGTCATAGCAGTAACTGCAGCCCTGAGCATAATGTTTGCACACAGTAGATTTTCAGTAAGTAGGCTTACAATTCCTAAAGGGATAAATGCCTTGTTTTTAAGATGGAAGGATATTAGGTCTGTTATGTCATTGACTCACTGTATTTATTTATTTTTGTGTGAGGAAGATTAGCCCTGAGCTAACATCTGTTGCCAATCTTTCTTCTTCTTTTTTTTTTTTCTCCCTGAAGCCCCAGTACATAGCTGTATATCCTAGGTGCAAGTCCTTCTAGTTCTTCTATGTGGGACGCTGCCACAGCATGGCTTGATGAGCAGTGTGTAGGTCCATGCCCAGGATCCAAACTGGCGAACTCCAGGCCATTGAAGCAAAGCATGCAAATTTAACCACTACGCCACCAGACCAGCCCCAGGGCTGAATTTTTTAATGAAAGAAAACAGTGATAATGATGATGATGAAGACAAAACCCCTATAGGGTGACACTGGATTCTCTGATGATAATATTCTGAAAGTGTTGATGAAGTTTGTAAAAACTGAATGTACGAATTTCAATTCTGCTTCTATGTAACAATTTTCTCTTCAATTCCTGTAATAGTTACCTTATTTTGAAATACTAGATTGAAGAAGTAAGATATAGGACAAAATAATGACTCTTTATTAATGATTCATTCATTTTTCTTCTATGTTGCAACAGATAGATTATACAATTAGGGGACTTTTCAATGAAGCTAAAGTTTACCTTGAATAATAAATTCCCTAGCGAAGACAAAATTCAGTCATCAGACACACTCAGAAGCACTGAATCAAATCTCTATGGAAATGGGATTTCCTTTGGGCAAAATATTTATACATGACATGCATGAGTTAACTGTGACTCTCATGTGAATGCAAGAAGCTTACACTAAGCCTGATAAAGCACAGATGAAAGAACAAAAATGCATGCTGTAGTATTTCTGTGTGGGGGTAAGAGAGGAATCAATCACATTACTTGATTTTCATATTGTATGCGTCGATTTGACCTTATGAGCCATTGAATTTGACAGCCATAAACAGTAACACATTGAAACACATAAGCTCCTCTCACAACAACAGCAGCAAAACAAAATAATTCTATCGATTCTCGGTTCTAAGATAAAGAATGAGAGTATATAAAACCAGACTTGTGACTGGGTTTTAAAAATCTCTGGGCTCACAAATTATATATTGGTTCTGTTTGCATTTCCATGTCCTCTGCCTTCTAGCTCCTTTTGTTTACTGCCAGGGAGAAGTTAGAAATAATATTCTTTCATATATCTTTTTCTTTATCTGAAATTAAGAAAGATAAGAATATAATCCATCAACATGACTTTGGACGGTAAACCTGATTTTTACTAGGCTCGCCTTTACTCTTGGAGGTTCTAAATCTATGGATTTGTGCTTTCTTTATTATATGTGAGGTATGGCAATACTTCCAGCATTTAGGGCAGTAAGTGAGACATAAAACCGGTATCTTAGTCTAGGCAAAGACATTGGGCTGGCTAATTAAGGAAGACAGTTCAGGAAGGGCAGATTTTGCAACTCAAAAGAAAGATTGGTTTTGTTAAGTATATAAGCATGGAAAATAAAATTTATATTGTTTTACATGATTGCTTTGTAAGTTAGCTAAGAGTGTTTTAAGAAGTTGTAGATCTATGCCTTGAGTTTCTTAAGATCAATTGAAGCGATCCATATTAAGTAACTAGCGTGGGAGGAATTCTGATTTTGAGCACTGGAAAATGCCAAATTTTAAGCCCACTTGTGTGCTTATATAACCAGGATGGATTATTGGTCACTATAAAATATTACTGGTAATGTGACTGCCATCATGATTTTCCTTCCCCCATCCCAACCACCATTGGAAGAGGGGCCAACTTTTGTCTAAGGATTGGATTGGAAACTCACAGTGAAAAACGGTGCATTTTTCCTATTCTCCATTAATAGAAAAGCTAAGAAAAAATAAATATAAAAATAGAAGCTGGATTGGAAAAAACTCCCATCTCAGATGAAATTAAAAAAAAACAAAATCTGCCCCAATCCCAAACCCTAAACTTTAAACTGTGGCTGCCTAATACTGTTTGTTTGGACGGAGATTAGGGAACAAAATGAGAGGCAATGCATGACTCTTTGAAAGTCAAATAGGATACAGATTTCTCCAAAACTATCTTGAAAGAAAGTTTTAATCGTATATTGACTAGAGCAATGAGATATATGAGCACGGATGGGGTGATCAAAGAATGTTTCAACAGAGGACCAGTTTGTACTGTGCAATGGAGAGAAATCTAATTCTCAGGAGATCAATTCCTGCCCTATGGTCCCTCAGTGGAGACTGTCAGAAGTGAAGCGGATGAAATAAATTTGTAACGAGACAAGAATAGTTCAGTTTAGTCATAGTTCCATTAGAAGAAAGATTGCAAATTTTGGACAGCATATTGTAAAATATATATAAACAATTATTTTCTCTCAGATAATGTTGGCTCTAGCAAATCGGCAGTTTTTTTTTAATTCTACAAATATAGTAAAAAAGAATGTGAAAAATAAAATACCTGTATTTGAGAAAGCATGAAATATAAACTCATTGCAACCATTAGTTTTCTGTACACAATTCTACCTCTCAGTGCAGGTTTACTGTTGCTGCCACCAAAGACTTACTGAGGCACATTACACACCAGGTACTTGCAATTTCCTTCTTTCATAACACGTGCTTTATATATCAATAACTAAATGACAGAGTAAAGCGCAGGTTCATACGTAGTCCTCCTTTTTCCTCGGTAGTTAGTTCTTCCTAGGAGTCTACACCTAATGGTGAAGGAAATGCGGCCTGGTAGTCAGGGGTTCCACACTGGCTGGAGCATCTGTTCACCTGCAGCAGTGGTACCCAGCCCCACCAGTCATTAAGTCATTTGACTCTCACCCTTGAACAAATGTTGTCTATTTTCTTTCAAGAGATAAAATATCAGTGCGATTTCAAAGGACAAAATATGTACACAATTTTATTCAACATTTTATATTATGTTACAAATATGTACAATTTCAATAATAAATTAAAAATAAATGAGTAAAATCAGTCTGAGGACAGTTCGTAGACACCATGTTACTCGGTGACAGTTTTGACTCTTCATTTCTAAGAGTTCATCTGATCCAAGATCCTGATCATCTTGCTAAAAAACTTGTTTTGGCAGCACATTTGAAATGCACAGTGTTTCATTGCCTCTAAGCAGTGGGAAGATGTTTATTAATAACAGAATTGCTGAAGAGGATCGATTGTGATCAAGGAAGGTTGATGAACATTTGCACGATATGTACAAAACTCTGCAAAAATTCTTTAATATTTTTTTCCTCCAGTTCCTCACATTCTTTGCATCCAGATTCTGTAACATTCTGCCAAATGAAAAGAAACGGTTAGATTGGAAAGTCTAATATATTTCTTTCCTGAGAATATCACATCATTTGAACAATGTGGTGAGGTCTTCAGATGTGAAAACTTTGGCAAATTAATTTTATATTAGGAAGAACTATAGGAAAAGAGAACTGAGAGATTTGATATGGGCTTATTTTTCCTAATAGATTAAGGACATTGAAAAAAAAATAAGCCATGTCTATCAGAGCATGGACTTCCTGCTTAGTGCCCTCCAATGGTTTCCCGTCATCTACCCTACCATAGCATCCATGCCTCCCTGCATGGTGCACAGGCCCTCCTTTGAGCTGTTCCTTACCTATTTCTTTCACCTTTCCCACTGCCTCAAACGTGATGCCCTAGGAACACTGAACTCACCCTTTTCCCCTAAGCACACATTATGCTATTAGATGCCTCCCTGCATTTGCTTTTCTCTCTGCCTGTTCCACACTTCCTATTTCAGCTACTGCTACCCACACCTGAGATCACTCAGGTGCTGTCTCCATTAGGAAGGCTTTCCTGAACCTGTGAGCTCCTAGGGCTGGGCTAAATGTCCCCTCTTTACATTCTCAGAATCCCTAGTCTAGACGCTCCCTCATATCACATCACATATTATATTAATAGTATGGAGTTTTATGCTTTTTATATCACTGTTCTCTAAGCTCCTCCAGGAGGGCAAGGGCATGTATTTTTGTTTCCCTAGCATCTAGCACAGAGGCTGGCACATATTGCTCATACAATCATTATTGGTTGAATTGAACTATTTAGGTGAATACCACAAATTGCTGTAATTCAAACACAGTTTCATGGGTAACTAGAATATTCCAAATGTAGCAATCATAAATAAATTTTTTAGAGATCATCTGAACCACGAAAGCTGTACCAGTAAAAATCAAAATTAGATTTTATAGCCATTAAGCATTTGAAACTCAGATTCACCAATATACTCTATGGACATACTCTATGCCAGGTACTGTCATATTCCATATAATACTGTCCTATTTGATCTTGAAAATCATCATGTCAGAGAGGAAGGCAGAGTTATTAAATGACTCGTTTCAGCTGACACAATCATTGAAATTCTCCCTGTCCAGGTCTTGTGATGCTACAGTCCTGCCTCCTCCTTCCACTACGTGTCACCTCATGTCATGATGAGGGTGGCTGTGAACATACACCTTAAAGAGTTCACCACTGATACTGTCATAAGGTATCTGTTGCATGGCTCAGTCTTTCAATTGATAACAGAGATAACATATCACAAGAATATTTTAAACATTAATATATTCATGTCATAAATACATCGAATACCTAGTATATGCTGGGCATTGTTTTGGGAGTGTGAATACAGCATTGAAAAAGACAAAAATGCCTGCCTCTTTGAAAGCTGACATTGTGGTAGGGAAAAGCAGACAATATCCATTAAGTAAAACACATAGTGTGTCAGATAGTGGGACAAGCAGACAAGGGGACAGGGCGTGATGATGTGGAGATGGGATTGCAACTGTAAAGAGGTGACATCACTGAGAAGGTGACATTTAAGCAGAGATCTAAAGCAGCCTTGCATCTTTAGGGAAAATCCAAGGTGTTCAGCCACACGAGCTCAGGGTCTTTGCACTTTCTGTTGCTTCTGCTTGAACCCTCTTCTCTGCGTATCCTGAAGTCCCCTTGCCTCCTGCCTTTGCCAAAGGTCAGCTTAGCAGGTAAACCTTCCCCAGATAGAATCCCAGCCCCCTTATCTGCCTTCTTTTAGCCCATTGGACTTAATAAATAACTGACTTATTATTCATTTGCTTATTGATTGGCTTACTTATGCTTCTTTCCTCCGTAAGAGGAGGGACCACGTGTGTTTTTTTCACTTCTGTTATCCTGAGAGCCTACAATGGGGCCCGAGAGTATTTGTTAAGTTAACAAATTATTATGCTTTCTTTGTTTATAAAACTTCTTTCTATCCACTTTCCTTTGACCACTAGTGTTTTGCCATGAAAGCCATAATCCTTTGTACCTCAGGGCCTTTGCTTAGCTGATCCCCCAGCCTACGATGGGAGTCCCTACTATTTGCTTTCCTGGAACCCTACACTGCTTATGATGCCTGGGATGGCCCAAATTACACTCAAATTTTAATATTTTTATTATTACTCTTTCAGTAGATAGGAAGACACACTTTGGAGTGACACTGCTTGGGTGTGTATCCTGGCTCCCTATTTTACTAGCTGCATGAATTGGAGGAAATGATTCAAGCTCTCAGTATTCCAGTTTCCTCAACCTTAAAACAGAAACAAGGATAATTGTCTTATAGATTTATTGTGAGGATTCAATGAATTACCTCTTGACCCTGGATGGACAGTGTCTGGCACAGAGTAAAAACTAAATAAACGTGGACTGCTATTATTGATGCTAAACACTTAATTATGTAATTATGTTAATGTCTATCCATTGCACATTGTGATAAACACCTTGAGGTCAGTGACCTGACTGGTTCACCACTGTCACTCTAGCACCAAAGCACACTGCCTGGCATCATGTAGTAACTGTCTGTTGAATGAATAAATCAATGAACAGTTTTGGTCTGTGTGCACACTAGTGCTGGTGCCAGTTCTGGATACCACTCCACGGGAATTAACTCCCTCTCCCAAGGGCCCCTCCAGAGGGTCTGCTTGTCCATTATATCCAGCTAATGACTTCTCCCAATCACTCTCAACACATCCGCTGTAGTTCCCCATAACTATTGGATGACTCACCCCATTAGAAGATAAGCTGCTGTTTGCTAGGATGATAAGGTTTTCTACTGTTTCCTTAATGTCCTCGTTTCTGGACTCATGCAAAATAACATGTAACTCCAGGAGAAAGCACTTCATCGCTGTTACTTTGCAATTGGGCTAAAATAGAATTACAAAGAACCATTTTGAAATAAAATTGTTCTCCCATTACTCATTCTCACATGGATGTAATTTTGATGTTTGTAACTGTCAATCCAAATATTTTATAAAGAAACACAATACCCCCATGAAGTTTTACACAGGAAGCGGCTTGATTTTTTTTTTCTCTTTCGGCTTTGAAACCAAAACCAAAACAAACTGACAGCAAAACAATTAAGAAGGATGGCGAAGAAAGAATATAAAACCAGAAAACATGGAAATAATAAGCCACTTCTTCATACTGAGCAAATTTCCTCTGGGTAAGATGATGATAACGCTATCCTGAAACTCTCAAGACAATCATATACACAGTGCACGGGGAAGAATATTTAGATTAAAACTGTAGTGTTAACATTTGAAACAGTGGTAGGCGCTATTCATTCTGTTCCTGAAAGTTCCATAGTGCCAGAGGCAACCGTGATTCCAAGACATTTGTTAGAAAAATCAAAGCATAAGTCCTGCCTCCTCACAAGCTGGCCAAATCAGACAGGTACCTTTCAGGTACCACAAAAACGCGTTTCCCACAACAAAACTTTGGTAAAATTTTTTACTTTACCAAAAACCTAAACTTAAAAGAAAAGAAGCATTTAACGAACATCTGGGGATCCCCAGACTTGTTTGACTTTGTGTTCTCAGTGCCTTATACAATGCCTGGGACCCTGCAGGCACAATGCTTACTAAATGAATGAATGAAGGAACACACTCATAAGCCTGGCACTGGTAATATTCCTTATCCCCCTCAGCAGCTGCTCCGGATTGAAAGGGTAAGTACTGTCATCATATTGATAACAAAATAAATAATAAATATAATGATAAGATTACAAAACTGAGGTTCAAAAATGGTTAGTGACTTTCAAGGTAACACAGCTAGGAAGCGGCTGAGTCAGGATTTACATCTAAACTTCATTCGTAGCTTCTTCCTACAACCCAAGAGTTGCAAGGTTATCTTTTTGAAAAAAGCAGTCTCACGATGCTGAGTGTTGGTGGTTAATTGACTGCTTTCTAGTCTGAAAAAATGCAAAGAAAAATGGAAAACATGCCAAAGTCAAAGGAGGGAGACAATTTCTATGTGCATCAGTACTATCCAAGCAGTTGATGAATGTCCATTTTTTTCTAGTTTCTGGCTATGGCTTCTTTCCAATGCTTAGACAGTTTTGGTGGGGGCAGAACTTTCTGTTTCAGAGAAGTTCTAATTGAGGAACAACAGAAAGATAACTCACTGTTTTGAATGCACACAACACAGACTTTGTTTTCCATGAGGAAAAGAAGTTGGGGATTTGTTTCTTGGCTTTTAACAACCAATCCAGAGGGAAGACTAGCAACATGGCTGAAATCATACACGCCTTAGGCAAGGTCAGCGTATTAATGAAACAAGCTCAAGATCATTTTTGAATTCTGATAGGTTTTATGGGTTGTGTTTGTTTCTTTTCTCACATAGGGAATAACCAGCCAGAATCCTTTTCTGATCATTGTAGATTCATGCAAAATGTAGAAAATGAATGCATTTAAGCAATTTGTGGAAAATATGATTAAAGATTGTAATGCACTACAGCACTGAAAACAACTGATATGTTGGATACCTTCAAATTGAATCCGCTAACCTGATTCTTGCATTAATTGCATCATGATCTAATTGCATCACAAACGTGTAATATGTTTTGTTTGACATTGACGGAAAAGGCTTTTTTATATTTTGATTTGCCACTATTACAAAAATAGCATCTAGGTAGCTCTTTGTCCCCAAGTGCCACAACCTCAACAATTACTTATGAAATATATCGATCATATGTTGTAAGAACACACCAAAAGTTAGATTTTAAAACTACACATACATCAGTAAATTTATGAAAATATGCTTCTTAGACTTTTGAAAACTGGAAAATATAGCAATTTTGAAAAAAATAAACTATACTCACATGAGCATCGCTTTCAGTATATAAAGTGGCATCAACATGTATAGACTGAAAGGAGAAAAGTTAGATCATATGAGAAGCCATGCCCTGCTTTAGACATAATGAGAACAACCTACTGAAAACATTAAATCAAGCTTTTTTAAGTTAAATTTGCTTTGAGATAATTTTAAATTCATATACAATTGTAAGAGAAAATACAAAGAGAGCTGGTGGACCTTTCACCATTTCCCCACAATGGTAATATTTGGCATAACCGTAGCACAATGTTACAACCAGGAAGCTGACATTGATACAATCCATCCACCTTGTTCAGGTTTCACCAGTTTTATGTGCATTAGCACGTGTGTGTGTGTGTGTGTGTGTGTGTGTGTAGTTCTATGCAATCTTATCAGTGTGTAAATTCATGTAACCACCACCAAGGTTAAGTCACAGAACAGCTCCATCACCATAAGGATCCTCCTGCTACTCTTTCGTAGCTAAAACCACCTTCCTCCCCACACGCCCCCTCCCCCACCCATCTAATCCTTGGCAACCACTTCTGTGCCCTCCATTCCTGTGATAGCACTTCAGAATGTTATATAAATGGAATCATGTAGTGTGTAACCTTTTGAGATTGGATTTTTTTTTTAAGATTGGCACCTGAGCTAACATCTGTTGTCAATATGTTTTTTTTTCTTCTCTTCTTCTCCCCAAGCCCCCAGTACAGTTGTATATTCTAGTTGTGAGTCCCTCTGGCTGTGCTATGTGGGACGCCGCCCCAGCATGGCCTGATGAGAGGTACCAAGTCTGTGCCAGGATGGGACCTGGCGAAACCCTGGGCCACCCAAGCGGAGCATGTGAACTTAACCACTCGGCCACTGGGCTGGCTACTGAGATTGGCCTTTTGAACAAATTAATAGACTTTATTTTTCAAGCAACTGTAGGTTTACAGAACACGAGCAGAAAGTTCCCATATATCCCCTTGCCCACCTCCTCCAGTTTCCCCTATTATTAATATCTTGCATTAGTGTGGTACATCTATTACAATGGATGAGTCGATATTGATGCATTTTTAACTGAGGTCCACAAATTACATACACTACATTATTACACTAGGATTCACTCGGTGTTATACATTCTATGGGTTTTAACAAATGTATAATGACATGTATCCACCATTACTGTATCATACAAAATAATTTCACTGCTCTAGAAATCACCTGTGCTTTGCCTACTCATCCCTTTCATTCCCCTAACCCTTGGCAACCATAGATCTTTTTATTGTCTCCATAGTTTTACCTTTTCCAGAACGTCATATAGTTGGAATCATACAGTATGAACCCTTTTTAGATTGGCTTCTTTCACTTAGCAATATGCTTTTAAGGTCCCTCCATGTCTTTTCGTGGCTTGAGAGCTCTTTTTTTTTTATTATTACTGAATAATATTTCATTGTATGGATGTAGCACAGTTTATTTATCTAGATTGGCTTTTTCTTCCCACACAGCATATTACTCTGGAGATCCATCCAGCTTGTTGTGAATATCAGTAATTCGTTTCATATTATTGCTCACCGTTATTCCATGATAAAATGTACCAGCTTAACTATTCTCCCACTGAAGGACATTTTGGTTGTTTCCAGTTCTTAACTATTATAAATAAAGCCCTAGGAACATTTCAGTGCATGTTTTTCGTGTGAACATAAGTTTTTATTTCTCCAATATAAATGTTCAGGACTGCAACTGTTGGGTCGTGGTAAATGCATGTTTTGCTTTATAAAAGACAGCCAAACTACTGTAGAGTGGCTGTACACTCTTACACTCTCACTGGCAATATATAAATGATTCAGTTTCTCCACATCCTTGCCAACATTTGGCATTATCCCTATTTTTGATTTTATATATTCTTATAGGTGCATAGTGATATGTCATTGTGGTTTTAATTTATATTATCTAAATAAAATATAGCTATTAATTGGTATTTTCTCCCAAAAAAGATCTGGGGTGATTTGTCATTTCTTCCTTTATAATCTGCATACCTTTTATTTCTTTTTCTTGCCTTATGCCTGTTGTTTCTCTACTTTTGCCTTACTTATTTAGCTAAAGTTCCAGTACCATGTGGAATTAAGAGGGATGAGAGAAGACATGCTCGCCTTGTTTCCAGTCTTAGGGAACAGCACTCAGTCTTTCCCCACTAAGTATGATGTTTGCTCTAGGTTTTTTGCGTATGCTCTGTTATCAGGTTGAGGAAGTTCTCTCTCTGTTCCTTGTTCACTGAGAAACTTTATCATGAATACGTTTTGTATTTTTGTAAATGTCTTTTCTGCATCAATTGATAGGATTTGACTTTCTTGATATGATATGATTTTCTTCTTTAGCCTGTTGATAACAATGGATTACATTAATTGATTTTCAAATACTGAACAGATCTTTCATACCTGAAATAAATCCCACTTGGCCATGGCGTATAATTATTTTAATACATTGGTGGATTTGGTTTGGTATTATTTTATTGAGAATTTTTGCATCGAAGTTCATTAGAGGCATTTGTAGTTTTCTTTTTTGGTACTGTCTTTGTCTGGTTTTAGCATCAGAGTAATACTTGCTTCCTAAAATGAATTGCGAAGTGTTCCCCCCTCTTCTATTTTTGGAAGAGACTATGTAAATTTGGTGTTATTTCTTCTTTAAATGTTTGGTAGAATGTTCCAGTGAGACCAGCCGGGCCTGGAGATTCTTTTGGGGAGCTTGTATGTGATGACTTTATGTCTGCAGTGGTTATAGAAGTTTTTGCATTATCTGCTTCATCTTGGTTATGTTTTGGTAGTTTGTGGTTTTTGAGGAATTGGTCCATTTCCTCAAAGTTGTCAAATTTATAAGAGTAAAGTTGTTCATGGTTATTCTTTATTATCTTTTTAACGGCTGCAGTTTCTATAGTGAGAGCCTCCAATTTTATTTCTGGTATTGATGATTTGTGTCTTCTCTCTTTTTATATTTGTCAGTCTTGCCAGAGTTTTATCACTTTTATTGATTTTTTTTCAAATAAGGCGCTTTATGTTTCATTAATTTTCTCTATTGTTTTCCTGATTTTAATATCATTAATTTCCTGGTCTTATCCTCATTACTTCCCTCCCTCTGCTTGCATTGGGCTTATTTTGCTCTTCTTTTTCCAGTTTCTTGAGCAGGGAACTTAGTTGATTGGAGATCTTTCCTCTTTTCTAATGTAATCATTGAGTTTTATAAATTTCCCTCTCAGTATTTCTATAGCTGAATCCCACATATCTTGATATGTTGTGTTTTCATTTCATTCAGTTCTATGTATTCTTTCATATCCTTCAAAACTTACTCTTTGACCTATGGAATATTTAGAAGCATATTATTTAATTTCCAAGTGTTTGGAGATTTTCCTTTTGTATTTACATAATTGATTTCTAGTTGATTCCACTGTGGTCAGAGAACACACACTGAATGATTTCAATTCTGATAAATTTGTTAAAGTTTGTTTTATGGCTCAGGATATATTTAGTCTTGATGAATGGTGCTTGAAAAAAGTAGCATTCGCCCTTGTTGGGTGAAATGTTCCATCTATGTAAATTAGATATTGTCAGTTGATTGGGTCATCCAATTCTTCTATATCCTTTTCGACTATAATTGTGGATTTGTCTGTTTCTTCTTTCAGTGCTATTAGTTTTTGCTTCATGCATTTTGAGGCTCCATTTCTTGGCGTGTACACATTTAAGATCATTATATATTCCTAGTGGACTGATCTTTCATCATTATGTAATGTCCCTCTTGACTCTAGTAATTTTATTTTCGGTGAAGTCTACTTCACATGATATTAATAAAGCCACTTCTGATTTTTAAAATTATTATGTGCATATGTATCAGCTTCCTAGAGCTGCTATAACAAAGTACCACAAAGTAAGTGGCTTAAAACAACAGAAATTTATTCTTTTACAGTTCTGGAACCTAGAAGTCCAAAATCAAGGTGTCAATAAGACCATGCTCCCTCTGAAGGTTCTAGTGAACAATTCTTCCTTACCCCTCCCAAGTCTCTGGTGGCTCTTGGCAATCCTTGGCCTTTATTGGCTTGTAGCTGCATCATTCCAACCTTCTTCGGTCTTTAGCTCCCTCCATTTTCACATGGTCTCTTCTCTGTGAGTCTCTCTGTGTCCTGTTCTCTTCTTATAAGGACAGTAGTCATTGGATTTAGGTCCAAACATACCCCAGTATGAATTCATCTTAATTAATTATATTTCCAAAGACCCTATTTCCAAAGAAGCTCACATTCTGAGGTTCTGGGTGACATGAATTCTGGGGGGGCAGGACATGACTCAACTCACTACAGTATAGTTTATCTCTTTCTCTCTTTTTAATTTCAATCTACCTGTTATTGGATTTGAAGTGAGTTCCTCATAGACAGCATAAAATTGGTATGCGTTTTGTTATCAATTTGGCCAATCTCTGTTTTTTACTATATTTTCTTTCTCCTCTCCTTCTGGGTTGCTAATGCTAGGAATGCTAGATCTTTGTCCCAAAGATCCCAGAGCCATTTTTTTAGTTTGTTGTTTTCTTATTATTCTGTCTTGAAGTTCGCTGTCCTTCCTCTGTCATATTCATTCTGCTAATGAGCCTCTCCAGTTTGCTTTGTATTTCAGTTATTTGATTTCTCAGTTCTGTAATTTCTATTTGATTCCTTTTACATATTGTATTATTTTGCTAAGATTTTCTATTTTTTCCAGTTGTTTCAAGGGTATTTGTAATTGCTTTCTGGCACATTTTTATGATGGCTGCTTTAAAGTTCTCGTCAAATAATTCCAATCCATCTCAGTTTCAGAGTCTGTTTCAGAGTTTTCTCTCATTCAAGTTGTGATTTTCCTGCTTCTTTCTATGATGAATAATTTTCAATTTTATTCTAGTATTTGAGCTATTACATTAGGAGACCCTAGTCTATCTAACTCTTCTATATTAGCATGCAGCCACCCTGTTGAGGTTTAGCATGCAGGTTCTGACCTATGTTTATATGGTGTGATTCCAATGACAGTTTAGTTTTCAGAATCTTGGTGGTGCTAATTTGGAAAGCTTAGCTCACCTGGTGCCCCTGGGGCTCTCACTGGTCCCTGCTGAGTTGCCCACTGGTGCTGAAGGCACTTCCCTGGCCCTGTTGTCAGTGGGGCTCCTGATCTCTGCCTCCTTGCAGGTTCTGCCATGCCAGCTGGTGTTTCCAAGTGGGAGACGGGGTTCTGTAGCCCCTAGAGCAGAAAGCCCTTCCCTAGGTCAGGCCATTCTCCCTACAAGTGCCACCAAGCCACCTGGTTTCTCTGGTAAGAGAAGGGAGTCTCTTGCTTATGGTGACAGAGAGCTCTTCATGCTGGGCCACTCATAAATTGAGTTTTAAAGATAATTAGGATCTGAAAATTGTAAGTAAAAGATCTTATGTAAGGCTTTACAAGGCTCACAAATTTCTACAAAAATATTACTGTTCCAATGAGATTTCATTAAGATTGACAGCAAAACACAGGGAGAGGCATACTCCATAGCAATAGTAGCAGATATTTCATAGAAAAATGAGTACTTACTTGAATAAGATCTTCAATTCTTTTCAAATCACTTATTACATCCTGCCAGTTTGCCTCTGTTTTAGGAAGACCTGCACTGATACAGCTGGAAGCAAAACCAAAGAGCAAAGCCTTTTGAATGAACATCACATTGTCTTCATGAACACTACAGGCAAAAGAACAATCAAGAATTTTTCATTCTGACTAGGGAAAAGACGAGTGTTATCCTTGCCTCTGCATTCGACAGCCTTGTAGACAAATGTCAGCACCAAACAGATAGTGTATCCTTGACACTTTAGGCTTAACTTGAGGACTGACCAACCTGGATTAGAGAAAAGCCTAATTTGGAAGGATAACTTATAAACAACCTAGTGCAATTTATTACAATGAGGTACAAATAGTGCCTGATGTGTGGCGGTGCTCAGTAAATCTTTTTGAACGAATACTACTTTTCTTTAAGTAGAGGTTCCATCAGACTTTTAAGTTTAACAAATAGGTAAAATTCTTAAAATAAGCAGTAATGATTTTCATGTAATGATTTTGACAGTAAATGTTCTTTACAGTAGGTTAGACAGGGCCTTTTGCATGCTGCTCACACTATTATGATGCTTGCAGCATCTTTCTCCAAACACTTTATAGACTTGAGCCCAGTCTAAGCTGCAAAATCATGTACTTGCTCATTTTGGTAGAACAGAAATTTAATATCCTGACAAAAGACATATTTACTGACCAAATGACTGTAGAATGATTCTTAGAGCCTCAGGAAAAACAGTCTCTTCCTGATCGATCTTTCCAGAAGCTTGAGAGCCAACACTAATCTTTCTTGCAAGGAAGATTTACCTGCATGAATCTATGGTTCCCCATACCATGAAAGCATTAGTGGAGTAAAACTGAACTGAGAGTCAGATTACAATAACTATAGGTTTGGTGCTTGGGCCAACTGGGTACAGTGTATTAGCTGCATCTAAGAGAGAAGAAAAAATTAATAGGCATGGAAAAATATGAATGCTTATTAGGAGGAAAAACTGAACTAGGACAGGGCTTAAAGGATAGGAGCAGTTAGTGCCAGGGATAGATAAAAAAGTAACATAGGCAAGACCTAAACATCTATTTTTTTTACTGCCGTGAAAATCATGCAAGATATTAATAAGGAGTGTACTTCCAAGTTTAGTTATATACCAAGAGGTCCAATTTATTTGGAGGATATAATACTCATTTGTATTATTACCAGAATAGAAATGCTCGATTGAGAGTTTGTCAAACCTCCTCTGAGTCTCCATAATCTGCCCTCTAGCATACCCCAAATGCTGAGTACCTCGGGATGTAAGCAAACTGAACAGGAACTGATTTAATAGAGAGGATATTGAAGAACAATGATCATGGCCACTAACATGATGATATTTATGCGGGAAGATAAAATTACCCCAAAATGAAGACATGAATGCCAGCCTCAGTTAAAAAATGACTGTTCAGAAGTAAACACAAGTAGCAGTGGATGGAAGTACTTCTCAGATAGGGTTTCTGAAAAATACAATCACAGACAAAATGGTTAAAAATTATTTTTAGTTAAAAAGTAAGATTTAAAATGTTTTAGCATATTTTAGGTGCAAAAATGTAAATTTATCAAAATTTCAGAATTAATGTCCCTTATCAGAATTAATGAAACTAGAATTTATTTTCTTTTGCTTTCTCCTGTACCTCTAGCTCTGTCTCCTATGTGAAAAATTCTTTAATACATATTAATTTTGAAAAAATGTACATATATACCAACGTCACCACTTAATTTGTTTCTATTATCCTTAACCTCCCTCTCGTCTTTTTTTCCTTTTTAACAGTCCAACATATTTTATAAGGCACAGATTAAAAACATGAATTACTAACACAGGTTAACTAGTTTTATATTAATTTCATGTAACTATGTGAAAATTAATTATATATTAATAACATTTGGGAGAAAAATTGGATAGAAGTGGAACCAACTAGAGATACTCTATGCATCCTCAGAGACAATATATAATAATTTTCTTTGATGATTTAGGAATATTACTTATCTTAGAACTTCCCAGAATCTCAATATTTTTGCCTGCCTCCTTCATGTTTTCACAGCCTTTATAATTTCAGAAAGCAGTGTTGACTACCCCCTTAACCACTAAGAATCTATGCTTCCTTGAATCTACACTGAAGGGATGAATAATACCCAGACCTGGTCCTCAAAGACAACACAATTTACTGAGTAGATAGACACTTAAAGAACAAAATAGAGTGAAATAAGTGAAATAGTACACTTACAATGACAGGAAGAGCACATCAGGGTTGTTAACAGAGTTAAAAAACCTATTTTATTTATTTTCAAAATAAGAAGCATCCATATGTGAACAGACATCTGAGACATCCCAGGATCTTTAAAGAAGCGTCATGGAACTTATGAAGTATCTGAAGACACAAGAGACCTTTTAAGAAAAGTCCACATACTATCTTCATCTAATTTTTCTTACCGAAATTCTCATTACTCAATGCCAGGGTAAATCCTTAAGTATTGAAGAAGAGCTGGCTATGGCAATGAGTTTCCAGCAGCCATCCATCCAGAATACTTCCTACAACACAATCCAGGGTAAAGGATGATCCATTAAAAACACAAGTGGACTAGCAGGGGGAAGAAAGGGAAGGGAATTAATATTTATTGAGCACCTACTTTTTCACGGGCACTCTATTAGTCACTTAATATGCATCACATTTAATCCTCACAACAGTCCCATAGGGTATCCATAGGGTAGGATTAGCAGCATTTGGGTAAGCTGCCCAGGTGCCACAGCAAGGACATGATGGCCAGGATTTTACAGCAGATCTGCCCGATTACAAAGCCCAAACCCTTTCCACTGTATTATGCTCCTGGCTTGGCATATTCCAAAGCCATACCAGTAAAAGTAGAAGCAACCAAATACCAAGATTCATATAAACTACTGACTGTTAATTTAATTTACAACAGAAGTAGCTACTTCTATAGACAATGAATAGAAGTCTTCGGTCTTTGAATTAAATCACCATTAATTGAAATATCATTTGAGAATTTCATCAGTAACAAAACTTTATTCTTTGTTGTCAAAAAAGTTCTCTCTGTTGTCTTTCCCCTAAAATTAAAAATGTGCCATGTTCCTAGACATACGTATTCCCTGCAATTACATTCTGTACACTCAAATGATTAAATAATTTTATTTTTTAGATATTTCTGAGATATAAAAATGATTGCTTTAAAATACAGGATGCATAACTCTTAAAAGGAAAACTAGCACTCATCTAGGTGTTAAACAGGACACTATAAGAGTATATCTAGTAGGAATGCCTTTTTTTCTGCAACAACATATTAAATCTAATCTTCCTGCTATATACAATTTAATCCACTGATTAACTGGTTTAATTAAAGCCAATTTTTCTTATTACTCTCATGTTCTAATCATTCTCATTGTCTATATTATCTCAGTGCTTCAAATATTTTACAAAATGTCGGAATTATCTTTGTAATTTCTTTCTTTTTTTTTTTTTTTTTAGGAAGATTAGCCCAGAGCTAACATCTGCCAATCCTCCTCTTTTTGCTGAGGAAGACTGGCCCTGAGCTAACATCTGTGCCCATCTTCCTCCACTTTATACGTGGGATGCCTACCATAGCATGGCTTGCCAAGCGGCACCATGTCTGCACCCTGGATCCGAACCAGCAAACCCTGGGCCGCCAAAGTAGAACGTGGGAACTTAACCACTGCACCACCAGGACGGCCCCTGTAATTTCCTCCAAAGCCTCTTAAATGCCCTACATCCTTTTAAGCTGTGGTATCCCAAACTCCACATTGTTCAAAAAACAGTATTTATTGACTTGGGACCCAGCAGTACAAAGGGTGATTAACTGTTAATAAGGCCTTAAAGGCTATTTTAGTAAACAATGGGAATTTGACTCCTGGGCTTTTGTAGTGGTGAGTTGCCACACACTCACTGTGACTTTCACTGACCTGCCCAACTACCTCCAGCTGGTGTTACATCAAAAAAGAGTAAGTGCTTTAGCCAGAAGGCTCCATGCCAAACACGTGGAATGTGGCAGCAAACTAACTCAAAAGCTTCTAGCAAATAATGATAACAGAGGCTTTGTATGTCATTTGGCAAAAGAACTGGTGTGGTTTTCTGGGTTAACAAAGAATTTGGTTTCCTTTCTTTCTTTTTAATGAGGAAGATTGGCCCTGAACTAACATCTGTTGCCAATCTCCCTCTTTTTTGCTTGAGGAAGACTGGCCCTGAGCTAGCATCTGTGCCAATCTTCCTCTATTTTATGATGGATGCCGCCATGGCGTGGCTTGATGAGCAGTGCTAAGTCTGCGCCCAGGATCCGAGCCTGTGAACCCTGTGCCATCGAACTTAACTACTACACCACTGGGAGGGCCCCAAAAATCTGATTTTCATAGTAGCCTTGAAAGTATTCAACCTGCCACTTACTATAGTTCAGTGGACCGAGAATTTTAGCAGAAATGTGTGTGTATGTGTGTATCTGTGTCTGTAATCCATGTGGGACAAAAAGACCTGAGAAGGTAAAATACTCTACTCCTTTCTCTTTAGCCAGGACTCAAAGTTAACTATTACTATCATTATTATTAGTGATGTTAATATTAATTAGAATAAGTATTGTTTACCTACTGCTTTCACGTTTACAAAATTATTTCATATGCATTATCATATTCAATCCTGGCAGTATCTCTATGTAAGAGATATTACTCTTACTTTACAGTGAAGAAATTGAGGTTCTGAGAGGTGAAGTGACTTGCTTCAGGTGAATGTTACACATGTAACTATCAAAGGTTACCTCCCAATCCAGGTTGGGCAGGGGGAGGAGGGATGCAAGAAATTTCACAAACTCTGTGGTTGAGAAGTGTAGGTCCCTTACTAGAGGATGTCTCTCATCCATCTCATGTGCATAACAAAAAGCCACTGTCTGATAATTTAAAAACAGGTCTTTCAAACTGTTCTGGCATGAAACAGAACTCCAGTTCATTCACATACACTATCTCCTTTGATTCTCACACAATACCTGTTAGAGACAAGTGGCTGAAACCAGGTTAATTACTTTCTGAGAGGACAAATTTAGGGATGAAATAAATGGTCCTCTTCCTTTTATGTCATATTTTTGGAGAAGTGGGGAAACAGTGTTTACTAATTGCATATGGTGGTGAAATTCCCTCACAACCAGCATCATTGGTTTGCCCTTCATTCACCTGGCTGCCTGGATCTGGGACTAAAAAGAAGACTAAATCTCAGCCCTACCCTCAAGGAGCTCACAGAGTTTAAGCAGGAAGTTTTTGGAATCTTGTGATTGGGTCTCACTGCAGGGTGCCTGTTGACCTTATGGCAGCTCTGCTATCCCAGCGGGATGTCACTGCCCAGGGGTAAGACATCCGGAAGAGTGGACAAATCGACACAGCTGGGCAGCTCTACCTGTTGTAATTCTGGAGTGACTTATGACAATAACTGTAAACATGTTATGTTCTAGACCAACATTGCAGTTCTCCCCAGTGAGGAAATACAATCCAACACACTGCTCTTTTGTTTTATTTGTTTAATGATTTACTTGCCTAGTCACACATCTAAAATAAATTTAAATAGACTTAGCAACATAAGAAGAATTATAAGTATTGGTTTATTTGGTGAACACATTCACTTGTTCACTCAAAAAACCTAAAAATGAAGGCAAAGCAAGCTTGAGCGCTTATGTGGACTGTAAAGACTTAGAAAGCATGGCTCTCCTTGGTCATTTAGTAAATATTTATCGAGCACTTCCTATGTGCTGCGCATTTTTTGTATGACTTTGGGATACATCAATGAATGCAGAAGACAGAGAACGTTGGTTTCAGGGCGAAAGACAGACCATATATAATATACATAAATAAATTAGTTATATATTTCATTAGATACTGGTTAAATGATACAGGAAAAAGAAAACACAGACTAAGGTAAGAAAGATGGGGTTGCCATTTTAAGTAGAGTGGTCAGGGTAGGGTTCAGTGAAAGCAAAATCAGATCAAAGACACGAGGAAGTGAGGGCGTGAGCCCCAAGGATATCTGAGTGAAGAGCTTTCAAAGGAGTGGGTACAGCTGGAGTAAAGGGCCAAAGGCAGCTGCATACATACGAGTTTGAGGATCAGAAAAGAGGCCAATGGAGCGAGGAAGGCAGAGAGTAGTCTGAAGTGAGGTCAGAAAGGTAGAAGTGGATCGAGTCCGTTTAGCCACTGTAAGGATCTGAAGTGAGACATTTTGCAACATTTTGAGCAGAAAATTGATAGCATGTGAATGTCCTTTTTAAGAGTCCTTCTTGGCTCCTGTGTTAAGGGCAGGCTGTAGGTGGGGCAAGGATAGAAGCAGGGAGTCTGAGACTATAGGACTTCAGATGAGAGATGGTGATGGCTGCAACAAGATGGGTGGTAATGGAGACAGGAACAAGTGATTGGAGTCTGGAAACATTTTTCTGACAGAACCAAAAGGACTTCCTG